CACGAGCCAGACCAACTGCGCAAAGAATGATGACCGAACGAACAGCGCTTCTCAAATATTTGTCATGTTGATATCTGATATCTGTCATTAAGATATTTTTTTTATGGAATATGAAATCTATTGGTCTAATTATAAGCAATAACAAAACGATATGAAATAATAATATATAAATAGCACTTATGTAATCTTCTTTAAAGAATCCTCCGAGTTGATATGAAGTACTGGAGATGTTTCATTCTTTCGAACCATAATGGTACAATTACGTACCCAGCAAAAGGCATAGTTTTTTTCCTTTGACTTCATTTTAGCCTGGCGAAGTAGGAATTTATTTTTTGTTGACAAGTGATCATTAGCGTAAACACGGCTATCAGAAGAGCCAAAACCAAGGTCACTGGCTTTTATATTTTTTAAGTTACGTATAGCCGCTAAAAACTCGTCCTTTCTATATCTCGACTGCATTTTTAAGATTATTGGTTTAGGTCTTTTATCGTTATGATCCTTGACAGCAATTCGCGTCACAAAATCAATATCAGTATCTTTCAGTGGAAAGCTACAGCGATCGGCAAGGCGCTTAGTTACATTTATCAAATTTTCACCACTTTTGAAAGGAATTCCATTTATCTGTATATTAGATCGCCGCACCCATTGCTCACTTCTATTGTTATCCTCCACCAGAACATTTATAATCTTTTTTAGATGGTCTAATTCAGTTTTAGCATTTTCAACGGCGCTTATACGAGACTCCAAGTTTGAAACGCGATCAGATATGTCATCTATTCTCGAATCAAGAGAGGCTTTAAGGTCCGCAACATCCGCTTTAACTTGCTTTAAGTCAGATTCAATTCGATGGAATGATTGGAACTCTGTCTGAAGCCCAGTGACTATAGCCAAGATATCCTTGAGCGTTTCATCATGATCAGATGGTTGTCCATTGTCCACCTCAGAAAGCTTCATTTTAGGTCCTAATGTTGTTTTTGCGACAACTGGGGTTCGGCTTGATGTAGCAGACGGTGAAGCATCCTCTGAGTGCGTAACATTGGTATCCCGGCAATTAGAACATATCCACTTGTCTCTTCTGGACCCCAATCTGTTAAATCCTCTTTCAGATATACCACCGCATCCAAAATGATATCTACGTTTGCATGTAGAACACTCCGAGCCGTGTCCGACAGTATCGTTACAGGTTCCACATTGACTTGTAAACATTTTGAGAACCTCTGATTCAAAGATGAGTCACGAAAACGGGAATTAACAGCTAACCAAGCGCGTTATTGCGTGTTTGCTCGACACTCGTACGCAAACGACTGCATTAACAAATTTGAAAATGGCGCCAAAAAATAGGATTAACAGTATACTGGACTGCGTTCCGTTTTAAAAAAATCACCACTTGACCGCTCCGGATCGGCCGAACCCCTGTAAGACCTCTTCAAACTTACGAGACAAAAGCTGAGCAAGAGTGGACTTCACCACAACACCCTACAGAAGTCTTTATATTTTCAGACAACCGTCGGAAATAAGAACTGCTGATGAGTGCAAATCGTACAGGAAGCAGCAGCAGCTTCAAAGCTTTTTTTGTTTCTTTTCAAGGTCTTACAGAACAGTAGCAGCATAGAGCGACTTTCGCAATCCTGGCTGCACCAACCAATCGAAACAACATCAACATCCGAAAGTCGCACCACACAGGGTGCCTCAACGGCCCCGGCGCCCTGCGACCGTATCCTTCGTCACTGATGGATACGGTCGCGGAGCGGGGGGGCCATTTCATTTCACCCCCGGCACCCTTCTATCATCCTTTGCCATCTATACTCATCCGTATGTTCGCCTATCATACATTTCTATCTGGGAACAGGGGTTCTTTACTCACCTCACACTCACCATTCTTACTTCACCATTCTTCGACCCTTGTTCCCACTTTCTTATCACCCTCTATCCCCCTTTCCTTCTCTCTACCCCTATGGAGGGGGTTCGTGGACCAACATGAAGCTCCCGGGCAAAGCCCAACCCCCTCTACTCATCCCCACCTATCACTTGCGCCTCTTCTATCTTTAGAAGTTGGTACAATCCCCCCTCAACAGGGGGATTTAAAGCAAAATTTTCACGATTCCTTAATTAAATTATGTTATGTTATTATTATAACACCATAGTTTTTTTTATCTCTGTTTATAATCTATTGATCTGGTAATGACATGGTTTTTGTAAATGTCATTACTCATATTAGAGCTGGTGAGTTTCTTGCTCGTTCTTCTTATCAGCCAAAAGACGTCCTGAACGAGTGGTAGGGAAAAAATGTTGGACGATTCAAAAGTACTTTTAAGAAGTCTATTTGAATAAAGATTATTTTGACTTTGACTTCAATTGAAATTTAAAAAAAAAAACCTAACCTCTCCCCCGCCTCTCCTCTCCTTTGTCCTTTCCACTCCCGTCCCATCTTTGAACCCTCCCCTCCTTGCTTGGAAAGGGGGGGGGGAGGAGGGGGGGGGACACCGGAGACAGCATTCTGCTCCTCCGTTGTCCCGCTCTCGATCCACCAATTTCAATTTTAACTTAGAGCGGCCACCGGCCCCTCCTCAAGGGGAAGACGGTGAAAATTTACAATTTATAATACTCCTCCTATACTTTTTTTTTTTTTTTCTATTGGTTAATTTAGTCATCTCTCTCCCCCAGTCTCCAGTTTCGCTTAGTTTACCTTAAATCGTCTCGTCCCAAATCCGCTCTCTGTGTGGTGTCGACTGGTCGACAAGTTCGACCTACACCAGCGCGCCTCCCTTCTCCCAGCGACTTTGGCATTTACAGCGTAGATTTCTCCCCGCTTCTTTTTATTAAGTCACACTTCCGTTAATCCATTTCGTCGTTTAATTGACGATTGATTCTCTTTTGTAATTTCACAGTCGCTCTGCGTGCGGCGTCGATAGGTCGCTAATGCTAGACCGCCGCCAGCACTCATCCTAAGGGGGTACTTGATCGCCCCCCCGCACCGCGGCCGTTGTCGCTTGTGAGAGCGGGCGCGTGGCGGGGGGGGGGGGGCGACCCTTTTTCACCATGGTGCCTCCCTCCGCGTCACATTTTACCCAATTAGGTGCTGCGGCCTACCCAATTAGGGGGCGAACGGAGCGGTGCATGGCCCACTGGCCGATCCCGTTCCATCGCCACCAACCCGAGTGAAGGTACATCGCTGAGTTTTAGTGGGTATGCCCTGTTTCTTGTCTGGCTCTTCTTAGAGTAGGTCCGACATAACCCGTGAAACCCGCGCTGGGTGTAGCGGGAAAAAAAAAAAGAAAAAAAAAAAAAAAAAAAAACGTTAGAAAGAAGAAACAAAGAAGAAAAGCTTGTCAAACAAACAGCAAAAATTGATAGTTTTTTGAAAAAGAACAATGACGAAGTGTCAAGTTCTACAAGGTTGAATGACCTAGCAGAGATCGAGGCGAAAGAGGTTGGTAAAATGAGTTTTTTTTTTTTTTTTTAATACCTAACCTAGATTTGATATCTTTATAAATTCTCAATGTCAATCTTTACAGGTACGAATATATTTTAATATTATCTACTCTACATTCGTTTCGTATTGGTAGAAGATATCATCATTTCTGCAATTGTGAGTTGGTTGTAGGTTTGTAGGTACCTTGGTGAAGTAGGTAAATTGGTGAACAGCGGTTTGTTGTTAAAATTACAATACAATTAAAACTGCGCGGCATCTATTCTACTAATGGAATGATAATGAACGAACAACAAAAAAATATTCTCCAATTTTCTTCAGCGCAAAGACTTCAGAGTGCGCTGAACGGCAGTAAGTGAGGTGAGCTGAGCATGCAAGCGTATTTTTCGTCCTAACCATCATAGGTACGGTACCTATAAGATAAGATATAAGGCGCGCTTGGCGTGGGCTTATTAATTAATTTATTTGAGCTCACTTCTATTTGTTTTCATGTTCAATGCTTTGGGCTTTAGTTTGGTTATATTATAGGTATTTATGGTATCAGTGTGTGATAGTTTTATTTTATTTACGCAATTAATTTTTCACCACTTCGTATATGGAATAAAATCAACATAAATTATTATATTAATGTAAAGTATTTTTCACGACATGTTACTAACATATTATTGTGCTTTGTTAGATAGGTTCTTGTTTATTGTGTTAGTGCATGAACATGAACTTTTTTTTTGCATTTTTTCCAGATTATGGTGGAAGGGAAAAATAAACCCAATGACAATATAAAAGCATCCGATTTGACTACGCCAGATCAAGTCGCTTCTAATAGTACTAATATTATTAAGAAATCTAACCCTACTGCTACCGTGGCTTCCTGCTCAGCATCTTGCAATCCCGCATGTGATTTAATTTCAACTAGTCTGTCTGCACCTTTGCATGAAGATTCTGCTATGGTCGATAAACAAAGTGAACTAAAATCTTCAGCAGTCGAAAGTGATCCAGCTCTGTGGGTTGTAACTGAAGATTTAATAGATCATTTTTCAAGAAATGGATTTGAACAAAATATTGAAGGAAGAATTTAAAAAAAATATTAAAAATATTCCAAATCCAAGCGAAGACCCGAGGATCAATATCGCTTCTTTGAACAAAAAAAAAAAAAAAAATTTAAAACCAGACTCATAAACGGAGAGAAAGTTTGTCGTAATTATTTAATATATTCAAAATCGAAGGGTTCCATATTTTGTGGACCATGTCGTCTTTTCGAAAGTGAACATGGAGGTCAACTTACTTCTGAATTAGGTTTTTCTGATTGGAAACATGCTCACGAAAGACTTAAGGTTCATGAGTCTAGTTTGGGATATAAAAACTGTTTGTTAAAAATGAAAAATCGGGGACAAGTAGAGACCCGGGTTGATTCTCAATTATATATACAATTAGAAGATGAAAAAAAAAAAAGTATTGGCGTAACGTATTACTTCGAGTAGTTATAGCTGTGAAACATCTAGCTACGCGTGGACTTCCTTTTCGTGGAAAGACAGATAAATTTGGATCCACAAATAATGGAAACTTTCTGATGATGTTGGAAGCTATTTCAGAGTTTGATCCATTTCTTGCCAAACATATTGAGCATTTTAGCAACCCAGGAAAGGGCAGCACCTCTTACTTATCATTTGCAATATATGAAAAAAATATTAAAATTATGGTTGACAAAGTTACCGAAACCATAATTGAGCAACTTCAAAAAGCCAAATACTTTTCTTTTAGTGTTGATTCTACTCCGGACATAACCCATGAAGATCAACTTTCTTTAATTGTGCGATTTGTTCAAGATAATGCAGAACCAGTTGAACGTTTCCTTTGCTTTCTGCCAAATACTGGTCACAAAGCAGAAGACATGTTGCAAGCCATTTTGAAGACTTTTGACAAACTGAATATCGATATTGCCAATTGTAGAGGTCAGTCTTATGATAATGCAAGCAACATGTCGGGGCAGTATAACGGCCTGCAGGCAAAGATTAAAGAAAAATGCCAATATGCAACATATATACCTTGCGCCGCACATTCCTTAAATTTGATCGGATCCTCAGCAGCTGAGTGTTACCCAGAAGCTACAAAGTTTTTTGGAGTATTGAAAAATCTGTACGTATTTTTTACAGGATCAACGGAACGAACAAAAATATTGCAAACATTTTTAATGGAACCTGAAAATGTAACCGTTAAAAGTTTGTCACATACGCGGTGGTCGGCAAGAGATGATGCTTGCTCGAGCCTGAATAAAAATTGGGAACAAATAATTAAAGCTCTGGAAGCAATAAAAAGTAACTCTTCGCAACAAAAAGCCTTCATCAAAAATGAAGCTACAGGTTTATTGGCTCAACTAAATTCCTTAGAAACAGCGATATTATCGGAATTCTGGGTATCAGTCCTAAAACAATTTAATACCGTTTCTAAAGTTTTGCAAGGTGTGGACACAAACGTTGAGGTAGTCTCCAACCTTTACGATTCCCTGATTACTTTTGTGAAAAATCAACGCGAATTATTCGATGCATTTGAAAAAGCTGGAAAAGAAAAGTGTACTGAAGATTACAAAGATAGCCGGAAAAGGATAACAAAAAGAAAAAAACGAGACGATGAGCAACGCGAAGGAGAAGTAATTTTACAAGGACGGGACTATTTTAAAGTGAATACTTTTTTGCCAATATGCGACCAACTATTGGGCGAGTTAAGGAGGCGTAAAACATCCTATGATGCTGTAACCGCCAAATTTGTATTTCTATCCAATTTAAGTACACTATCTGAGGCGGAAATTAAATTGAACGCATTATCACTCCAAAAGTCTTATCCTACTGATCTTGCGGATGATTTAAAGGATGAATGCATACTATTAAAGAATTTTTTGCCGTCTCAGGGACAAGAAACTAAAACAAGTTTACGCGAACTAAACTTATTAATTAATAAAAAGGATCTGAAAGTGGCGTTTCCTTACATTGAAATTGCGTTGCGCATATTTCTTTGTACTGCAGTAACGAATTGTAGTGCAGAATGCTCATTTTCGGTACTCAAACGGATAAAAAACTATTTAAGATCGCGTCTTATCGAAGATGGCAATTTTGAACATCGAACACGGAAAAACTTTTTAGTTTACAATACTACAAAACGTCTAGGTTAAGAGAAATACTGTAAAGATAACTATAATTTTGTACACAGAAACAGAAATATTGTTAACATAAGTTGACATTTTGTAAGCAATACAATTACAGTTCTGTTATTTCTGAAATTGTAATCAGCACTGAAAGTATATTAAACATTACAAGAAAAATTGTATTTTAAAAATCTACAACACGAGTTATGATGAGTACTGAAAATACGTTTGTAATTACAATACAATTAGTATAGAGAACAATCAGTGATGTTGCATTTGCAAAACTTCGCGCGGCTTGGCGGCGATCGAGATGCGGGGGGGTGAGGGGCAGTGAACTTATTGCATCATTTTTCTTTCTTTTAGTCGCGCGCGCAGTGAAGTGACAGTGATAGGATTACTATTATTCTATGGGATAATCGCCCGCCGATCGCTGCCATTACGCTTCCTAATCGTGTTTTATTGTTTTAAAATTGAAATGGACGAAGATGTCAGAAACTTACTTATTGCTTGGGTTCTCAGCGGTTATGTGGATGTGTTCTCTGGTAAGTTTCATTTATTTCATATGTACTCATCATAAATGATATACGCCTGACTTTTTAGATTACATACATAGGTAATTATAATCACGCCCATATATCGGGGCAAGCAAAGCCCTACGGTGTAATTCACACAAGCGGCCACGTCTGACGAGGGAGCTAGATGTTTTTATTGTGTTACTAAGTAGTGATATGACAAGTGCTCATCAGCCCGTCGCCTCAATAGAGTACTTTAAAATGTCCTTTCCCTTCAGTCTGATACTCTGATTTTGGATCTTGCACGGGAATGATGGCAGCTGTTTATCTTTTTCTCCCAGAGCTGCGTATGAGTACATAACTTTGTAAATATACAAAATGTTATATGTTGTGAGATGTAGGTGGGACTGGGATATAAAAGTAAATCCTTACCTCTTTTTTAGATATTAGGTACCGGGCTGACTGATCTATATATTTTTTTATTATTATGTATTTTTAATTTCAGAAAACCACATTATGATGGACTGCTTAATGCTGTTGGACTCGCATATTATTAAGAAGCTCATACCACCAGTTGGACATAGAGTAAATTTTATTAAAAATTTAAACAATTGGAAGACCTTGATGGATTCTGAGAACGACAATCAATCCAATCAATCACAAGTAAGAGTTTGATTTACATACTTTTAATTATATATAGGGCTTTTGCCCGCAACTTCGTCCGCGTGGCTTTCGTAGCCTATGTGTTGACCCAACCTCATAGTAATATTCATGCAAAATTTTAAGTAATTCCATGCAGTTCTTTTTGAGTTTAGCCCGAACATACAAACAGACAGACAAAAATTCTAAAAACTATATTTTTGGCTTCGATATCGATTGTAGATCACACCTCAAGTATTCTTTTTACAAAATATTCAATGTACAGTTTTGACTTTCCTACGATTTCATTATATGTATAGATATTTGCTACCATTTCCCACTTCAGGCACATTAGGCATTAATCTGTCGCTCACAAGTTCATGAATCATATTATATTTTCAGAAAATATTCATAAAGACCTTGAGTGGCTTAGAAAATCCAGCGAGCCTTGGAAAACAGTTGAAGAAGAGAAAAGGAAAAATACACTCAAGATTAGACTTGAAGAGACTAAAAATATAACAGTATCTGACTACATGAATGAGCACCCTGTTTTAAAAAAGCCGACAGGGTATCAGCTACTTCTAATTGATTCTACGTTTTAATTAATAAAAGTGTTGATTCTTATTATTGATTGTTATTCTTTTATTGGCATTTTCTGCGGGAACTGTCGTGTATCGACGTGATTGCTTAAAGTTCAGAGCTTTTATTTCTCGGAAAACTTAATGAATCTTGAGAAATAAAAGCATATTTTAAGCAATCACGTCTTTACCGCCAGTTCCGGTGGAATAAGCCAACTACTTTTTCTGGTCCATTTACAAAATAAGAAGTTACCTACACAATACTCTATTGTTGTCATTACAAGTCATTTTGTAATGTGAACGTATCATTCTGTTCCATTTATAATACAATATTTGTCAGAGGTACACAACAAATCGTATCAGTAATTTTTTTGTAGTAAATTAAACGATGCCATTCAGTAAATTTAATTAAACGTTTATATGTTATTTACAAAACTTTTGATTAACAACATAAACTTTCTTGTTGGTAGGACAAAAAAGGATTGTAGACCTGAAAAATTAAATAGTAAAATTAACAATAACAATGTGACAACTACAATTCATGTTTAACTAGAATCATTGTGTAACGCTTACGATACGAGTGGTCGTCACATATAGAGCAATAAATATTGTAATGGTAACCAGAATATGGTTACACATACCAGAATAATTTTTCCGTGAAGCCGATTTAACAAATAAAATTGATTATGACGATGTAATAAACGAATTTGTTAAAAATTTTGTCCACAGAAAAAAAAATGTAAAATATAAAATCGATTTTTTTTGTTTCCTTTCATTCCTTGATGGGGCGGAAAGCTACATGAGCCCGGAGCGCGCAATCTTAAAATACGCCCCTGGGGCTCCAGCTTCCAAATTTGCACCTCCTGCTCACCGTTTGAGCGGGAACGGGCGCGGGCGCGAGCGGGAAGATCATTGTAGACCCCCAAGGGGGTGTTTTAATTGATTATAGCAGAATGGATCGATCCGCTCGCCACCCTACCGCCCAGAAGTAGAATCAACCGGACCGCCCCATCTGGGCTCGCCCTCTCCTTCGGAGGGCCATCGAGACGCCCACCTCAACAGGGAAGTGGGCGCACACACGGTGCACTACGTTACGACAAGTCACCTTAACCGATCACTGTACATAAGCAGATTTACTAACAAATAATTTTAAGTTTACTCGCAATTTAATTTTAATCTTAATCAATCTAAGTTAATATTATCCAATGTAACCTATTACCCTGATAGGAACACATCACGATGCAAATCTCATCGAAATTTTGATTTACAATTTTAAATTTTAATCTAATTTATTGTAATAATAATAATTTAATTTAATTTTTACTTATATATCATTAATACCCACTGACATAGAAATTGTATAACTACTCAATCAATACCAATTTAATTTTATTGTATTTTACCCCGAGCAATACATATCACTCAATGGGGCAATCATTGTAATCTTAGTCTTAATCTTAGCTTTAATCAAGTAGCCATTGTAATCGATTGTATAATTAAAAAAAAATCTTTTATCACCCATATACTGTTATACAATCACAAGAATTTATATTTATAAAACCTTTTAGCATAAGAAAGCCTTTGTAATCACACAAACGTACTGCTAATTAACTACCACTTAAGATCTATGATATATAAGACTTATAGATTACAAGGCTAACTGGCCGGACGCAGCATCTACTGTCAACACCTTCCCGGTCAAAACTAGACCCGGAAAAGGCAAGGGGGAACCGCCCCCCCGGTCGGCGCCCGGTGCCGTGGTGCGACAGTTGTATACGCCCGCGGCTCCGGGGGTCGATCGGGGGAACGACCCCCATAACAACCCTCGCAGATCAAAAGTCGATGCCTGCCAAACAAACAGGCCCGCCCAGAGTCCCTATGACTCTGCCTCCCACCTTCATTTTCATTTTTATCTCTTTCTTTGTTTTATTCTGACTGACTAACTAATTTAAATTGCATTCGACATTTCTGGATTTTATATACTGTAACTAACTAACTTGTACTAATTAAGTAATTATAGAGTCAGCTCAGAGGTCAGGATCGCCCTCCCGCTAGGGAGACGAGCGCGGGGCGCGAGGGCAATCGGCCTCAAGGGATGCCCACGACCTTCGGGCACAGGTTAGGATCCAGAGGACTCACCATCTCCTATCCAACCCCTGGATCCTCCCTCAACTATGTTAACATTCTATAGTAAAATGTTGGTTTGTTAGGATCAGACTTTTCGCTCTAACTAATGAATATAAGTGACTTTTTACTGAACCAATTCAACAATCGGTCTGTGACAATGCTTCCTCGTTTGATCCGCGAGTGAAAAACCCAGTTCTTGAACTTTGTTAGGATCGTAGTTAACATTCAACAATTAATGTTAGCTTGCTAGGATCAGACTTTGTGAGCTAACCAATGTACATGGGTGACTTTTTGCCGAACCAACGCAATAATCGGTTCGTGTCAGTGCTTTCTCGTTCGATCCGCGAGTGAGAAACGCAATTTTAGTACAATGTTAGGATCGTGTTAACATCCAATAGTAAATGTTAGCTTGTTAGGATCATACTTTCGAGCTAACCAACGCATACAAGTGACGTTTTGCCGAACCTACTCAATAATCGGCCTGTGACCGTTCTTCCTCGTTCGATCCGCGAGTGAAAAACGCAGTTTTTGAACATTGTTAGGATCCTTGTAAATATTCTATCGTAAATGTTAGTTTGTTAGGATCAGGCCCTTTTCAGCTAACCAATGTACACAAATGACTTTTTGCCGAACCTACGCAATAATTGGTTCGCGATAGTGCTTTCTCATCCGATCCGCGAGTGAAAGACGCAGTACTGAACAGTGTTAGAATCGTTATTACCATCAATAGTGAACCTAACAAACGTAACAACCCTAACGCGTTTGGGATCATAGAACTTGGACTATTGCGATCGCCCATTGCGATCGCCATCTCATCGGTCTCTCTGAGGTATGCCCTCGAGAGCCTCCGGACCGCTACCGGTCTCTGCCGGTCTCCGCCGGCCGTACCATTCACGGCGGGGATAGCTGTACCCGCGGCTCATCGCGCCTCAGCTGCAGAGATCACGGGACCTCGAGCCTCCCGCCCCCTGCGTCGCGGCGCGAATGGACTCGACTGTTCAAGGTGTGTCGGCTGTTAATATGCTAATTTAATCAACTCCTTGGCATTACTCAATCCAATGTAATCTATCCAACTTATCATAAGCTTTCAATTGTTAGGATTATTAATTACCATCATTACCAAAAGTTTGGATAGTGCAATTGCTGGGATCACTAATTTAATTGTATTTATTTTTTTATATTTTTTTATTATTTTTAAATAAGCTAAGATTAAATTTTGTTGATAGGACTGTAATATTGGTAAGAATGTTGTTGTTGTTATGATTAAGATTAACAAGAATGTTAGGATGGTTAATTGGTATGACTCATAAGAAGAATGATAGGATTATTAGAATGTTAGAACGACTAGACTATTAAGAATGTTAGGATTGTTAAGACTAAGAATGTTAGGATGATTAAGATTATAGGATTATTAAGACTGATTAGCATTGTTCCGATTGCTGGTTAAATTCACTGCGTCAGTGATTTAAGTAACTATATACACACATACATTGCTGAACCAACTGCAGCTTAACAACCATATAGACATGCATCCCGAAACCTTGGAATAGTTATGAACGCAAGAAAATGGCAAACGACTACAAACATAAAAGAACCCAGGGATCCCATAGGACCTCCCCACAAGGGATCAGCTCGTCAAGATTGTCAATATTACTAGGAATATTAACACTATTAAGACCAAATGATAGAATCTTGAAAACTGTTAAGAATGATAGGACTGTAGGGAATGTTGTTGTTGTTATGATAATTGATAAGAATGTTAGGATGGTGAAGATTGTAGAACTATTCTGACTAATAAGAATGTTAGGATTGTCAAAACGGTCAGAATGATAGGATTGTTAAGAACCAACTGCAGCTTAACATACCATGTAGAGAGATTTGCTTGTTAGAATTGTTAAGAATACTAGGATTGTAAATATTGCCCACCTAGCTAGGACTAATAAGATAGCTTAGACTTAACCAATTGTAATTAATCAATTTCTGTAAATATAGGAGTACACTCAACCAATACTTATCTTTAATTAGGCAATTGCTCGGATAGGTGATACCCAATTAAATTTAATTTTAACGTTAATTTTAAGTTTGAACCATTCACTGTACATACACGGTAACATTCAACCAATGCTAATAAATAATCAATCACTGTAATTAAGTATTAGTATAGGTATTATAAATATTTTGTTATATTCAAGCAATAATAATAATCAATCAATCACTGTACACACATAGTATTAAGTACCCATTAATAACAACACCAAGCGATGCCACAATCACAGGGCAACATGGCGTCCAGCATCTTATCCAATCGTTATATTCAGTTAATGTTAATCAATCAATCGCTGTACATATAGTTTAAGCACCTATCACATGTAAACAATATACCAACTGACGCCACAACTACGGGGCAACATGGCGTCCAGTATTTTATTCAATTAGGAAAGGAAGAAGAGGAAAACAAAAAACAACTATACCTATTATATAATTGTACAAACACATTATATATAAAGAAAGGCCCTGTAATGATAGACCTAACTATAGCACTAAGTCATCATATCCCAATCCAATGTAACCACATTAGTCATAAGCTAGGGTATAGCCAGGAGTGCATCGCTATCTGCTGCATATCCATCTGCTGGAAATTGGATTCGGAATCGCCAAGGGGGGGCTGCCCTCCCGGTCGGCGCTCGGGCCCTGGCACGGAACTGGTGCACCCGCGTCAGCGGCTCCGGGGGCCGGTCGGGGGTGCGATCCTCCTCAGCATCCTCACAAATAGTTGATTCAACTTTTATTATTCAATTTTAGCCTAGAATACATCTTTCATGATATCATTCAACTTGTAATCGGACTCGGGATCGCTGAGGGGGGGGCCGCTCGCCCCATCTACGCATCCATCCTTTCATTCGTCACCCATCACCCTCTTCGGAAAGGGGGGTTCTATCCTCATCATCCTCTTCACTCTCTTCTTTCCCACATTCTTCGACCCCCGTTCCCACTTTCTGCATCATCTCTATCCCCTCTCTCTTTCTACCTCTTTGGGAGGAGGGCCACCACGGGTTCATCGAGAAGCTCCCGGGTCTTACCCTCCTCCCCTCATATTGTACAAAATATAACAATATACTGTTGAACAAATCAGCGAACATATAAAGTCGATAATTACCAGTGTGTACGAGCAAACCCGTACATTTCTATATGTATCAATAATATGCTAACGTCGGCGCTGCGCGCAACTCGACACACGTTTAATAAATGTTAATATAACTTAGTAGCAATAAATTACTCATTCGAACAACACGGTTTTATCATTTTATCACATCAATTATTTTCCGGGACAGTTTCGGGAACTCTTATCATATCAGTAACAATCATCTAAAGGTGTCAAACATCTTTATGGTCCTTCGAGCCTACGAATAGGCGGGACCAAATACGCGAGGACAATACAAGTGTACCTAGCACGTGCATCTCGAGCACACTATCGAAGCAACAAGCAACAGCTGAAGGAGCCGCCTGGAGAGATCTGTTCCAGTTCAGACAGTATTAAATAAACAGAGATATCAAGTAAGGTCTTTCCATATTTTCGTTCACGTAATAGCCGTGTCAACAGCATGGAAGACTTATTAGCAACGCAGTGCCAAATTTACAGCGCAATGGAGGCGCTTCTGAACAACTTCAAAAAAAAAAGACAGTCGAGAACGAAAACCGCCTGACTATATCAAGAAAATAATAAATTTATTAGACGACTATTGGAAAGAATTTTTGAATAATCATTCACAACTTTGCAACGTAGGTGAACAATCGCATGACTATTTTACGGGCAATCATTATCAAAGGGCATATGATTTATATACATCTACTCGTGAGTACATTTTGAAAAATACTAAATCGTTCCTGAAACCTGCTACGCCGTTAGGCACACCGACACAGTCACCGTCGGGTTCGATGGAGCGCATCAATTATCCTGCAAGGACAGATAATCCGCCTCAAAAAATTTTATATAATATTCCAAAAAAAAAAAAACTAGATCGCATGGTACTAATAGTAAGCTTGACGAAATGTTAAAGAAACAAAACATCAACTTTAGTGGGTATCGTTTAAGGATCTTTTTTGAGTTATTGTAATTTAACGGACTATAATGACATAGTTAATGAGCATGGTAGTTTAGGAACCTTATGGTTGAAGATTGGGTCCCTACTGGATGATGGAGACAACTGGCCAGGGAGACTAAAGGATAATTGTCTCCCTCCGAGCTAGGTGTTGTTAGCCCGGGGACCGCGGTCCAACCGATGTAGGTTGGACGTTCTATTTATATTAATTGGTAATGAAACTTATTCTGTGCGATGTAGGTTTCTTTGTTCTAAGTGTCTTCTAGTTATTAATTTATGCTGTTTGTATTGGTACAGCGCCATCTCGTTACTTGCTGTTGAAACTTATTGCAGTTCGTCTTGCTATCGATGGCTGTGATGATGCTAGTCTTCTCGCTATCGATTGTTGTGGCGATGTTAGTGCGATGAGTTAGATGTCGCTATGTATCAGTCGCCACAGTAGCATACTTGACGTGGTGTTGGCGCTGGAGTGCAATGAATCGCGATCGTGTAAGGTATTTGTGAGCTTAGCTGTAGAGGGTTTTGTACCTCCTGATAAGTTGTATCATCCCCCCCTAGAGATCGAGTTGAAACCCCGTTTCCAGATCAGATGCCGTGACCGATTGAGGCCGAGCAATATTGATTTATCACTCGATTGGAACTTTAATAATATTAATATCTCTCTCTTTAAAGCTCTAGTCGCTGATGTTTCCTGGGAACCAGTTCTCGGGTCTAATGATGTGTCCGTTGCTACCGATGCATTCTACGACATTATGTTCCGGATATTCGATGATTCCGTTCCTAAAAAGCGAAGATCCTCTGCGGCATGCGGTAGGTATCCTGTTTGGTTCGACGTCGATATTATAAAGGACATCAAGCGAAAGTCTCGCTTACACAGGGCATGGATATCATCGGAGTGTGTTGAATCATATAATGCATTTTCGAAGTTACGAGCGAATTTGAAAACGCGGGTCTCGCAGGCATACAGAGTCTACCTGGCACGCATTGAGGATAATCTGCAACTACGACCCCAAGATTTTTGGAAGCACGTTCATCGGTTAAAGTCAAAGGGTGGCTTTGAGCCTCGCGTTTTGTATAGAGGGGCCACTTATATGGGTGTTGAAGCTGCCCAAGCGTTTACTGATTATTTCTCCAGCGTTTTCTTGGATGAACCACCTTTACTTACTAGCAACACGTCCCTTGAAGAGGGTTATCAGGGTGGACATGTCAGTTTATCGACCTTGACGCCACGTAATATCAAGTACGGAATTGGTAGGCTGAAGCCAGATAGTTCATTGGGACCTGACAATGTACCCGGTTCCATCCTTAAGACCTGCAGCAGACAGGTAATCATCCCTTTATGTCACATTATGAATCTCTGTCTGAAAAATGGTAAATATCCCGCCCAATGGAAGCTGTCTAGGGTCACACCTATTCCCAAGGGTAAAAATAGAAATCTTGTAGTTGAATACCGCCCTATAGCAATTTTATGTGCCACTGCTAAGGTCTTCGAATATATACTGCACAAGAAAATTTATAACCAGGTTAAACAACTGATAGGCGATGAACAGCATGGTTTTCGGCCAGGATACTCTGTTAATACGAACCTACTTTGTCTGGTTGACTATATTTCGGATGCTATGGATCGCGGGCGGCAGGTTGGCGGCAGGTGAGAATAGATAACGACATATTACTGCATAAACTCTCGATAATTGGCTTTGCTCCCAATCTCTTGAACTTTTTCTCTGACTTTTTGAGGGACCGAAGACAATACGTAAGGCACGGTGTTTATGTATCCGAGGAATATCATACAGTTTAAAGGTACGAATTAAATGCTCAGACACAAACGACAACCAGAATGCGAGACATGAGAAAAAAAAAAGATAGAAAAATAACATTCGTAAGGACCGTTCACAGAATGGGTGACCAAAACATTATTA